CCTCTGTGCTCATTTATTGCTAAAATGTACCAGCTCTGCTTCTGCATTATGAAGATCATCTGTCAACACTCTGAGATATTCTCCTTTGTTATTAAGCTTGTGATGCTCTACACACTGTCAGGTTTTTTGCCAATTATAGTTAAGGTACAATAGTGTATTCACTGGATCAAAGTCTCTCACTGGCAGTGGAGGAATGATTTGTAAGTCTTTATTCATCTGAACTGTACAATAGAATACCTGAGGAATGCAAATAATCTCTCTAAGGACTCAACAGAAAAGCCTTTAAAATGATTGTAGCACTATTATTATTCGGAATTGGTGTTTTAGCCAAAGTAATTATTTCCTTATCTTGTTTCACAGCATTCTTAGATTTAGTAACACCAATCATTTTTGGAAAACAAAAAATGTATATTGGATTTTAGAAGTATTTTATAACTGATTTTGCTTCTATTATACGGTCAGTATATCCTTTTAATAGTGTCATTTAGTGCATTAACTCAATTAGACAAATCTGCAACAGATTAAGATGGTGCTCTCAATAGAACTAAATGTACATGCATTCACAGACATACATAGATTTTTAGGGATTTTTTTCCCCCAACTAGAATGGCAGCTTGGGATGAAATGCTGCCGTCTTCAGCCTCTTTGCTGCTGGAACGTGCATCGTGGCAGCCAGCCCTTACTTTCCAAAGCAAGGTCTTCTATACTGTTCCTGGGATTGTTCAGCAGCATGTTCTCTTCCAGGATTTGTGTGTGCAAACGATCTTCAAAGAAGGAGGCTTAGCACTCTGCCCCAAATCATGGGGAAACCGCAGGCGTGTTAGATATTTCCAGGGAAGGCACAGAATGCCTGCAGCAGCTTCCCCCAACCTGCTGCTCTCCAGATGTTCTGGATTTCAGCATAGCCAGTGGTTACAAATGCTGGGAGGCACAGTCCAAAGCATCTGGAGGGTGCCAGGTTGCGGGTAAACTGCCTTGGAGTACATGCACTGACTTTTAGGTTTGCATACCCAGAAATGCTGGTGTGATTCTTCTAGAGAGAAGAAGTTGGTTTCTCTGTTGTGGTCCTGCACAGCATTCTACATGTGAAGGAGGTAGAAGACCCTTCAGGGGGGTTGAAATGTACACATAATTTTGTAAGCGGATGCTTTAAAACAAGATAGCCTAAACTTACTGTTAAGCACTTTAACTAGCAGCAGTATCTCAGTAACTGAATTTTAGGCTAAATTCTGTTGATAGTTTGTGGGGGTAAAGCAGGGAAAGATATAAAGAACATTGAAAGCTGTGGATTGAGTATTTGCATATGTAATGAAAAAGCAGCATTATGTAACACGAGTGAAAACTGTTGAAGGAACTTTTGTATTCTTTGTCCAATCTAAGCCGTACTCAGCAGGCCTTGTACTTAATCTCATAATAGCTCTGATCCCCTTCTATTTTCTTTGACAAATGAGAGTTGATGAACTTGCGGTTTAATTTATTTTGACATTTGCATTGCTTATTTAAAGGGTTGCATGCCACAGCTTCAAATGATTTTATCAAAATGCTTTTAAAACAACAATCTGAAACCAGGAAATTCCTAATACACTGCACTTCAAACCTGCAGCTGGTTTTGCTGCTCTAGGTTTTGAAGCATCTGTGGCACCCATGATACTTTGCAGGTCTCACATATCTTTCTTAGTACAACTATATTTAAATTAAAACTAAATTTATCTTGCCTAGTATGTGGCTAGCTTCCTGTGTCTGGAGATGTGATAGTCATTCACTATTCTGCACCGTAATGAATTCTGTAGAGTTCAACCACAGTGTCTGATGAACAAAGAACCCCGCCCCCCCCCCCCAACAACACAGCAAATCGAAGCTGTGTCGCTTTTCCTAATGCAACTTTTCTGCAAACTCTTCCAATAGATTGGAGCAAAGGTAGTCGATCTGAATTGCTCACAGGAGTGTGTTGCCCAGTGATGCAGTAAGCAATAAATAGCGACCAACGTAAAGTATTCGTGCAGCTGCTTTCTGGGCAGAGCCACCAGCACAAGCTGCTGAAGCTATTGGCCTGTGCCTGCACTGGGCCATCCCTAGCATACAGTGTGCCCTGCTGGTGCCTCGCAGTACCTGCCGACAAAGGTCGCAGGCTCCTCTGCTGCTGCTTCGTGTCCAGTGGCTATTGCTGAATGCACTGGTCAGTGCTGAAAGCTTAATTCCTGGCAGAGGAGACCTGTTTTTGGAGGCCAGGGAGCTACAGATGGTAGAGGAGGCCGCGTGCCTTCTTGCACGTTCCCATCGCCTCGGGGCCAGTACTCGCTCAGCGACTGCGCTCACCCTCGGTAAGACTGCGGAGGGCTGGGGCACGTTCTCTTCCCCTGGTAGGTCATGATCATTGGGAGGTGTCTGTAGAAGGCAGTTGTGCCTGGTTGTGCCTGTGGTGCTACAAGCAGCTTACAAATGGAACCCTCTTTTGGTCATAGCTACCTCTTCCTATATCTGCTAAAGGGTTATTTGATTG